TTGTCTGTGTTTTTTGTGTTGTTATCTACGAAATTATTGGCAAGACCAATGTCATGAAGCTTTTCTCCTATTTTTTTTTTTTTAGGAGTTTTACAGTTTCAGGTCTTACATTTAAGTTTTAAATCTATTTAGAGTTAATTTTTGTGTGTGCATAAGATAGGGTCCAATGTCATTCTTTTGCATAGGGACATGCAGTTTTCTTAGTTTTCTTAACACCAGTTATCGAAGAAACTGTCTTTTCCCCCATTGTGTATTCTTGGCACCTTTGTCAAAGATCAGTTGACCATATATGTGTGAGTTTATTTCTGGGCTGCCTATTCTGTTCCATTGATGTGTATGTCTATTTTTATGCCAGTACCATACTGTTTGAATTACTATATTTTGTAATCAGGAAATGTGATGCCTCCAGCTTACTCTTCTTTATCAAGATTGCCTTAGCTATTCTGGGTATTTTATTGTTCCATATACAATTTCTATTTCTCTAAGAAATGCCATTGGGATTTTGATGGGAATAGCATTGAATTTGTAGATTGCTTTGGATAAAATGAATATTTTAGTAATGTTAAGTGTTCCAGTTAATGAATGTGGGATGTCTTTCTTTTTTTTAAATTATACTTTAAGTTCTAGGGTACATGTGCAGAACGTGCAGGTTTGTTACATATGTATACATGTGCCATGTTGGTTTGCTGCACCATTAACTCATCATTTACATTAGGTATTTCTTCTAATGCTATCCCTCCCCCATCTCCCCACCCCATGACAGGCCCTGGTGTGTGATGTTCCCCACACTGTGTCCAAGTGTTCTCATTGTTCAGTTCACACCTATGAGTGAGAACATGAGGTGTTTGGTTTTCTGTCCTTGTGATAGTTTGCTCAGAATAATGGTTTCCAGCTTCATCCATGTCCCTACAAAGGACGTGAACTCATCCTTTTTTATGGCTGCATAGTATTCCATGGTGTATACGTGCCACATTTTCTTAATCCAGTCTATCACTGATGGATATGTGGATTGGTTCCAAGTCTTTGCTATTGTGAATACTGCCGCAATAAACATACGTATGCATGTGTCCTCATAGTAGCATGATTTGTAATCCTTTGGGTATATACCCAGTAATAGGATCACTGGGTCAAATGGTACTTCTTTTTTATTATTATTATTATTTTTTATTGTACATTAAGTTCTAGGGTACACGTTCACAATATGCAGGTTTGTTACATATGTATACATGTGCCATGTTGGTGTGCTGCATGCATTAACTCGTCATTTACATTAGGTATGTCTTCTAATGCTATCCCTCCTCCCTCCCCCCACCCCACAACAGGCCCTGGTGTGTGGTGTTCTCCTTCCTGTGTCCAAGTGATCTCATTGTTCAATTTCCACCTATGAGTGAGAACATGCATGTTTGTTTTTTTGTCCTCGCGACAGTTTGCAGAGAATGACGGTTTCCAGCTTCATCCATGTCCCTACAAAAGACAAGAACTCATCCTTTTTCATGGCTGCATAGTATTCCATGGTGTATATGTGCCACATTTTCTTAATCCAGTCTGTCATTGATGGACATTTGGGTTGGTTCCAAGTCTTTGTTATTGTGAATAGTGCCACAATAAATGTACGTGTGCATGTGTCTTTATAGCAGCATGATTTATAATCCTTTGGGTATATACCCAGTAATGGGATGGCTGGGTCAAATGGTATTTCTAGTTCTAGATCCTTGAGGAATTGCCACACTGTCTTCCACAATGATTGAATTAGTTTACAGTCCCACCAACAGTGTAAAAGTGTTCCTATTTCTCCACATCCTTTCCAGCACCTGTTATTTCCTGACTTTTTAATGATTGCCATTCTAACTGGTGTGAGATGGTATCTCATTGTGGTTTTGATTTGCATTTCTCTGATGGCCAGTGATGATGAAGATTTTTTCATGTGTCTGTTGGTTGCATAAATGTCTTCTTTTGAGAAGTGTCTGTTCATATCCTTTGACCACTTTTTGATGGGGTTGTTTGTTTTTTTCTTGTAAATTTGTTTGAGTTCTTTGTAGATTTTGGATATTAGCCCTTTGTCAGATGAGTAGATTGCAAAATTTTTTTCCCATTCTGTAGGTTGCCTGTTTACTCTGATGGTAGTTTCTTTTGCTGTGCAGAAACTCTTTAGTTTAATTAGATCCCATTTGTCAATTTTGGCTTTTGTTGCCGTTGCTTTTGGTATTTTAGACATGAAGTCCTTGCCCATGCCTATGTCCTCAATGGTATTGCCTAGGTTTTCTTCTAGGGTTTTTATGGTTTTAGGTCTAACATTTAAGTCTCTAATCCATCTTGAATTAATTTTTTTATAAGGTGTAAGGAAGGGATTCAGTTTCAGCTTTCTGCATATGGCTAGCCAGTTTTCCCAGCACCATTTATTAAATGGGGAATCTTTTCCCATTTCTTGTTTTTGTCAGGTTTGTCAAACATTAGATGGTTGTAGATGTGTGGTATTATTTCTGAGGGTTCTGTTCTGTTCCATTGGTCTATATCTCTGTTTTGGTACCAGTACCATGCTGTTTTGGTTACTGTAGCCATGTAGTATAGTTTGAAGTCAGGTAGTGTGATGCCTCCAGCTTTGTTTTTTGGCTTAGGATTGTCTTGGCAATACGGGCTCTTTTTTGGTTCCATATGAACTTTAAGTAGTTTTTTCCAATTCTGTGAAGAAAGTCATTGGTAGCTTGATGGGGATGGCATTGAATCTATAAATTACCTTGGGCAGTATGGCCATTTTCACGATATTGATTCTTCCTATCCATGAGCATGGAATGTTCTTCCATTTGTTTGTGTCCTCTTTTATTACATTGAGCAGTGGTTTGTAATTCTCCTTGAAGAGATCCTCCACATCTTGTGCAAGTTGGATTCCTAGGTATTTTATTCTCTGTGAAGCAATTGTGAATGAGAGTTTACTTATGATTTGGCTCTCTGTCTGTTATTGGTGTATAAGAATGCTTGAGATTTTTGCACATTGATTTTGTATCCTGAGACTTTGCTGAAGTTGCTTATCAGTTTAAGGAGATTTTGGGCTGAGACAATGGGGTTTTCTAGATATACAATCATGTCATCTGCAAACAGGGACAGTTTGACTTCCTCTTTTCCTAATTGAATACCCTTTATTTCTTTCTCCTGCCTGATTGCCCTGGCCAGAACTTCCAACACTATATTGAATAGGAGTGGTGAGAGAGGGCATCCCTGTCTTGTGCCAGTTTTCAAAGGGAATGCTTCCAGTTTTTGCCCATTCAGTATGATATTGGCTGTGGGTTTGTCATAAATAGCTCTTATTATTTTGAGATACGTCCCATCAATACCGAATTTATTGAGAGTTTTTAGCATGAAGGGCTGTTGAACTTTGTCGAAGACCTTTTCTGCATCTATTGAGATAATCATGTGGTTTTTGTCTTTGGTTCTGTTCATATGCTGGATTACATTTATTGATTCACATATGTTGAACCAGCCTTGCATCCCAGAAATGCAGCCCACTTGATCTTGGTGGATAAGCTTTTTGATGTACTGCTGGATTCGGTTTGTCAGTATATTATTGAGGATTTTTGCATCGATGTTCATCAGGGATATTGGTGTAAAATTCTCCTTTTTTGTTCTGTCTCTGCCAGGCTTTGGTATCAGGATGATACTGGTCTCATAAAATGAGTTAGCGAGGATTCCCTCTTTTTCTGTTGATAGGAATAGTTTCAGAAAGAATGGTACCAGCTCCTCCTTGTACCCTTGGTAGAATTCAGCTGTGAATCCATCTGGTCCTGGACTTTTTTTGGTTGGTAAGCTATTAATTATTGCCTCAATTTCAGAGCCTGTTATTAGTCTATTCAGGGATTCAACTTCATCCTGGTTTAGTCTTGGGAGGGTGTATGTGTCCAGGAATTCATCCATCAAATGGTATTTCTAGTTTTAGATCCTTGAGGAATCGCCACACTGTCTTCCACAATGGTTGAATTAGTTTACACTCGAATGTGGGATGTCTTTCTATTTGTCTCTTCTTTAATGTCTTTCATAAATGTATGGTAGTTTTCAGTGTACCAGAAGCAGCAATATAGAAGAGAGTATTAAATGAAGCATTATGACCCTGTCTTCAAGGAGTTCACCATCCAATGTGGACAATAATTGCTTACTTCTATAATCATAGAGGCTATTTTTACCTGAGAAAGTAGTATCAATTGTGACTACTTGCTACAGGTCTATCATTGTTGACTTTGCAGATGCTGGGAACAAGCCTGAGAGCAGTAATTGTCATGAGGCAGGCACTATATTTAGGAGGAGAAAAAAATTAAGAAATTGGAGATTCAGAATCTAGAGAATTGTCACTTAAGAAGAAGATATTATAGTCCTGCAGATATTAGAAACCATTTAGGAAGACATTAGAGGAAGAGTAGCCCAAAGAAAGCACCCTTTCCTGATCTACTCTATTTTTTTCTGATTAGAAATTTCACTGGGTCCATAGGTTCTTTTCATTTACTTTATAATGAGTTGACAGGTGATCCATACCACAAAAAACCCTTGTTCTCCAATAGTACAATTTATAGCTATAATTTTCTACAAAGAGTTAAGTCAGTATCAATGAGCTATGTTTCCATATGGAGAGGCAATGATGATCAACTTTTCATAAAATCAAAGTTGGGTAGAGGAGTTCATATATTCATAAAATAACATAAAGAATATGGAATTCTTCATGAATGAAATAAACTAAAGACTCCCGGCACCTGAGATTCTATAAGTTGTGACATTAGAGAATAGCAAGAGACTGCTGAGTGCTAAGAAATGGATTGAAAGTGGAAGAAGGGGATAAGAAGAAAGAACATGGAATTGCTGGAAACTAATTTCATCATAGTTGTAGTTTTCCCTGTGTGCCTGGTGGTACCTATCTTCTATCTTCTCTGTTTGTAGATATAGGTTGCATATAGTAATGGTGCCTATTAGGATATATTGATATGGGAAAAAAGTGGACTAAAAATTCCTCTCACTTGGATCTACATGGTCAGGGACACCTGGAGTCTCCCAGTGACCTTTCTGAAGGCATCTTTTACATCTTTGTTTCTTAAGCTGTAGATCAGAGGGTTCAGCATGGGGATTACCACTGTGTAGAAGACAGACAAGACCTTATCTTCCTCCAGGGATTTGCCTGAGCCACTTTGCAGATACATGAAGATAAGGGTCCCAAAGAAAAGGGCCACAGCAGTGATGTGGGAGGCACATGTGGAGAAAGTCTTGGCCCCACCACCTGAAGACTTCACTTTCAAAATGGTCTTGATGATGAGCAGATAGGAAATCAGGATGACTGAGGCATTGGCCAAAATCACAAAACTGCCAAAGAAGATGGTGATAATCTCGATGTTTGCTGTGTCATTGCAGGCAAGCTTCAGTAGTGGGGGTAGGTCACAGAAGAAGAAGTTGATTTGATTGTCATCGCAGAAGGAGAGGGTGAAGGTACACGTGGTACGCAGCATGGCTCCTGACACCCCACAGACATAGGCTCCTACTACCAGGCTCCAGCAGAGTCTGGGATTCATGGCCACGATATAGAGCAGTGGGTTGCAAATGGCAACATAGCGATCATAGGCCATCACTGCCAGCAGGAAACACTCTGTACCTGCACAGATGGTGAAGAAAAAGAACTGGGCAGCACAGTGGCCGTAGGAGATGACGGTTTTGCCTGTGGCCAATGTGGCTAGGATCTGAGGGGTGATGACTGAGGTGTAACAGGCATCCAGCAGGGAGAGGTGGCTCAGGAAGAAGTACATTGGGGTGTGGAGTTTGACATCTACTTGGATTAAAATAATCATCCCCACATTCCCAAGAAGGGTAACCAGGTAGAAACTCAGAAACACCAGGAAGAGGGGAATTTTCAATTTGGGGTGGTCCATAAAGCCCATGAGAATGAATTCAGTTACTGTGGTGAGATTATTCTTGGCCATGGAGACAATATGGACTATTGGTCTGAGGATGAGAATGAAATAAAAAGAATTTCAGAAGTGAAGGACAGAATATTTCTCTCTATGGTGGAAGTGTGGCTTATAATTCTGGGCCTATTTGTAAAGCTTGTTTTTAAGAAATTCTGAAACTGGCTGATTTTCTTTGGACATCTCTTGCATTTTATGGAACTGAGCCTGAAGCTGGTATTTCTGATTCAAATTAATTCTAGTTTACATTTGGAAATTTCTGTAAAGATAAGAGGCACACAATTCTCAGCTTTGGAAGAGACCTAGACAGCATCTATTCCAATCCCATCTGGGGCTGGAGTCTCACTTACCGTATACCCACGACTTGGTCACTCAGTTGCCATATGAGTCTCCATCTGTGAACAGTTCCACCTGTTGATTCTCTTTTTGGACCTAGGGTTTCTCCTTCTGTACCTTTCACACACTGGCCTTAGTTTTACCCCTTCTAGATACTCATAGCAATTTTAGTCACTTCTTCTCATGAAAGCCTTTCACAAGTTGGAAGCTGATGAATCTGCTCTTCCTGCCCACCATTCCCTTATAGTACACATTGATATTTTCTGTCTTATTATATAATTATTCAGTGGGCAGTAAAAAAATTGCCTAGTCAAATAGTATTAACTGATAACAAAAAGTCTTTCTTTCTTCTTTAATCATCACCACCCCATCTCAGAGGCCATCATCTTCAACATATTGCATTAAAAATGTTTTTGGTTATATATACACCATGATTGTAAATAATGTGTTCAAACTCATGTGCTTGCTACCTTTTTTTGACCTTGGGTAAGTTACCTAACCCCTTTGTGCCTCAACTTTTCATTAAATCAAAGTTGGGTAGAGGAGTTCATACATTCTTAAAATAACATATTCACCTATTTGTAACACAGAAAAATATGCCTATGTCATAGGGCTCTTTTAATTTTTTTAAGGAAGAGAAAATAGATTTATTATCTTTTTTGAATTTGAATATAACTTTTTATTTTTTATTTTCATACATTTTGGGGAACAGGTGATATTTGGTTCATAAATGAGTTCTTTAGTGGTGATTTGTGAGATTTTGGTATATCCATCACCTGAGCAGTATACACTGAACTCAATTTGTAGCCTTTTAAGTATTAAATAAGTTAATACCTGTAACAGGTGTAGATCAGTGCCCAGCACATAGAGCTAAATAATGTTGGCTAATTTTGTTGTTGCTATTACCATCAATTTTAGATGGTAGCTATTGATTTTCTATTCTGAAACATAGTCCATTTACTCCACATGAACTTGGTTAATATTGCTATCTTTGTGTAATATATTTGTATCTTTCTTTCAATTATATATATACATACATATTCTTTTTTTTGATTGAAAAAATTTGACCCTTAGTAAGTTGAAGAAATTATTCCCTTGTTCTTTCCTCTCTTCTCCCTTCCACCTCATTAACAAAAAAATCAGTCTTTTATCCCATTCATATGGGAATGCTTGCTAATTTAAGTCTTCTCTATATTTTGACTATGGGTTGATTCTACTATCAATAAGTTGTGTTTCTCTATTATGACTACATACATGCCATATACAAAAAGACTAAATATTGTGATTGGATACACAGAAAAGGAAATGTCATTAAACTTCTGCTTCTGGGAGAATCTTTCAAACGTCAAGTCAAATGAATGCTCCTTCTTTTGATCTACCAAATTGGTTAAAATAATTATGTTTAGTTTGCTTTATATTTGAGTCATAGAAATTTTGCATTTCCTAAGATTTCCTGTTGCCATATGGTACAGATTTGAGTCACTTCGTAATACTGCATAATACCATATTCCAAGTCCATCCAGTATACTCATTAAAATGCCTAAAGACTTCCTTTGGAGTCTTTGCATGGAAGCCCAGGTTCCCATCTCTTATTTTTCAAAGGCATCTCTACTCTCCCAGGACCTGCCATATACAATACTTTATGGAAACCTGGCAACAGTCCTACTGGACAGGTGACATTAGTCTTGTTTGTGTTTGAGAAATTGAGATTAGAGAAATGAAACCATCTGTTGACCCACATGTAGAGGAGCCAGGATCCACACCCAAGTCTCCAGATTCCATTATCCTACACTGCTCCTCTTGAACCATTTGCCTGGCCTCCCTCATCTCACACCCCCAATTTCCTCAGGTTGGAATCTACCAATTCAGAGTCCTTGAATCTAGAACTATGTTTGATGAAGCCATGAATATAAAAATTAGATTGTTAAGAAACTCTTTTTCCATGTAGCACAACAAGGAATTTTCTTTGCTGTGGCAACATGGGGATTGCTATTTTTGATAAAATCCATAGTAGTAAAAACTAATCATAATACCTCTTTCTACCTTCTTTCATACATTTTATATCCATAAATATCTGTGATTGTCTCCACACCCCTGTAAAGTGGACATGATAGATATTGTAATTATTTTGGCATTGAGACAACTGACAGAGAGGTTAATGACTTGTCCCAAAGTCAAATAATTAGCTGTCTGCAGACATGGGGATAACAGGCAGGTCCTCTGGCTTCCATGGGATCCCTCTTTTACTTCCCTTTCACCTAAGGTCTAATTCCACTGGGACCTGCCAGGAAGAGGTTTTGAACTTGTAATGAGGCCCCATCTGTAGAATCACTGCGACTGCTTTATTCACTACATGGGTAGAGAGAGACAAGCAGCACACACTTTCACGAAAGGGCTCATGGTAGCTGTTCTTGGGTCTGGAGCTTACTTGAGCTCTAATCAGGGTCCTAGTGGGAGAGAGACATTGACAGATCACGTCAAACATGTCCTAGGGCTATTCCATCCACCTTGCTCCAGCAGCAGGGTCTGGGGATAAGTCAGCTTCTTTAGAAGGCCTTCATGGTATGGTTCAAGCTCTATGGTTGTCACCTCTATGACAGGCACTCACTAGCTGAGTAACCTTCAAACGTTTATCTTCCCTTCAACGAGGACTTCACTTTCTGTTCTATGATATGGCAGAGCTAGATTATATGACCATTAGATCTTTTGTTTCTCACAATCCATGATTTATATGTCTAGGTATTTAGGCTCTTTAGCTACTAAATACTGAGTATATAAGGAAATGCAGGCACTATTCAAGTGATTTCTAGTTACTTAAACATAATATTATAGGGTCTTAGGTAGAAAATTGAACGGCCTTTATTCCTCAGTTCCTGATAAACCATCATCATTGGTCAGGGCAAGGCTCTTTTTCATTTCATTTTATTTTATTATTTTTGCTAGTCCTGCCTCATTCTTACTCCTTCCCCTGTTCCTCTTAGGGGTGCACTCTAGTGTATTCAAAATACATATCCTTCCATGTTTATTCTTTTCATATTTATTTACAAATATATGTATGTTAAAAATATAGTGGCTATGGTGTGTTTTAAAATTTGTGTACATGATATTGTGACATAAATCCCACTTTTTAGCATACACCGTATTTTTGTGATTTGTTTATGTAATTTTGGTAAATTTAGTATTTTTTTTTCTGATTTTATTATGATCTTCCTTGGTATGCTTATAACATATTTTACTTATCAATTCTACTAGAGACTGTGAGTGCTTTGCATATATTATTTAATTCCAAAACCAGTCCTGTAAGCAGATATTATGATCTTATTTTTACCAATGAGGAATTTAAATCTTTGGGAGATTAATTTTCTAAAACTACTTCCAAGTGAGAGTAGAAGCAGAAGAGTTAGTTGATGGCAAATCCTTTTAGCTATAAATTTATTTTGTTGTCTCCCTGCATTTTCCTATATCTTTATAATCTATGGAACCAAAGAAATGTCCCTGCAGTTAATCAGAGCTTTTTTACCTTCAAATCATGAGAAAACCTGGTTAATTTCAACACCTTTCTCAACACCTAATTCTGAAATTGTTGTAGTCCATTTTATGTGTATCTCATGGCTAATTCCTGGGGGTCTCTCTGATTAGAGACACAATTGTTCGAGGCTCCTGACCAGAGATTAGGTGGCAGATTGTTGGGATGCAGATGCTATCACACTGAGTTTGTGGCACATGCATGCAAGGCCTGTTTCATACATTAGCTCTAGTCCTTCCTGAAGCCCTCCAAGCTGGGTATAGCTATGACTATTTTATGGATGAACAAAGTGGAGTTCAGAGAAGTTAAGAAAGTTGTCCAACTTGTTACACACCTAGGAAGGAACAGAACAGACATTTGAACCTAGGACATTCTAACTCCAAATTCTGTATTCTTTCCATCTTATCATGCTCTCTTCTTAGGGGATGAGAAAGACCCTTTCTGCAGACCCGAGCCCCAAACCTTTAAAATCACAGTGCCTCTCTAAAACCATTAGGCAAATACTCAACTTTTATGGGCGTCAAGTATAAAGATTGATTTTGGAGTTCTTTGTGGTCCATGTTTTTTCTCTTTTTCTTTCTTTATAACTTGAGAGAGACTTAGTTGGACCATATCCCTCTTGATATACCCTTGGAAAACTGCTCAACAAATTAGAACCTCAGTTTTTTCAATAATAAAATGAGAACATAACGATTCTTGAAAACTTAGAATGGATTTTTATCTAACAAGGTAGAGTTTGCTTATTTTCCAGAAAGGCAATTTTCAAAATATTTCCCAGAGGGAAAAATATTAGGACCAGACTGGTGATACCCAGTTTTGTGTGATCTTTTTTAAGAAGGAGATTGGGGTACCATTAGCTTGGGTGAGGCCCAGAGTAGAGAGAAACAACTGATTCCCTGAACCCAGGACAGTTTACAAAAGGGAAAGCAATGGTTTATGGCCAGTGACCCTTTTAAGAAAGTCTAGGAACATTTATAGGTTGATGATACTACTTGTGATATATTTAAATTATAATATGTGACATAAAAGAATATGCGACCTCTGGAGGGGATAGGGAAAAAGACTCCTCTAATTCAGGAGGAACCCTTTACAGAAGAGATGGTCCCCAACCCTTATACTTACTTTAACTTGGGACGTTCTCCAAACTCTTCTT